TTCTATTCTATTCTATTCTATTCTATTCTATTCTATTCTATTCTATTTCATCTTTTCCCCCAAGGAGAGAATATGAAAAAAGTGCCATATTTGAACCTCCACTCTGTACAATTGCTGAAGAGGATTGGGTTGAAAATAAACCTATTAGCTTCTATAGTGCCACAAACATACTAGGCATTTGTTTTTGCTACAGCAGATGAACACAAATACCTTCTTAGAACATTTCCACTGTTACAACCTTCTTTTATCCGTCCCTGCTGAGAAAGGCTCCTGTAGAGCAGGAGTATCCAACCGTGGCAACTTCAAGACTTGTAGATTGCAACTCCCAGAATTCCCCAGCCAGTCATGAATGGGGCTCCCCGCTTCTGGGAATTGAAGTCCACAAATCTTGAAGTTTCCAAGGTTGGACACTCCTGCTTTAGAAGTTCACCTTGGAAGGCTGGACAACCACACACGGAAATGCCAAGAGCTGATTTTTATTCATTATTATTTTTTCTTTTGGGATAACAAACGCTGCAGAAACCAAAGTGACCAAAAAAATTTTAACTAACAAATTTTAATATGAGACTTAAGCTGTTGTCGGAAAGATGCTACCAGACTCTATCTGATCTGGTTGCTCCATCACTGGATGTTTTTAAGAAGAGTCTAGACCAGGGGGGTCTTCGAACTTGACAGCTTTAAGACTTGTGGACTTCAACTCCCAGAATTTCTCCTCGAGTCGTGTTAGCTCAGGAATTCTGGGAGTTGAAGTCCACAAGTCTTAAAGTTGCCAAGTTTGAAGACCCTTGGTCTAGACAGTCACCTATCTGAAATGGTATAGGTTCTCCTGCTTGAGGAGGGGGCTGGACTAGAAGATCCCCAAGGTCCCTTCCAGCTCATTCATTCTATTCTATCTCTGCTTACTGGAGATGAATGCTTTTCAAATTTGACAGCTCTTAAGGTATGTGGAAATGGGACACAGTGGCTCAGTGGCTAAGACGCTGAGCTTGTCGGTCAAAGGTCGGCAGTTCGGCCATTTGAATCCCAAGCACCGTGTAATGGAGTGAGCTCCCATTACTTGTCCCAGCTTCTGCCAACCTAGCAGTTCGAAAGCACATAAAAATGCAAGTAGAAAAATAGGGACCACTTTGGTGGAAAGGGAACAGCGTTCCATGCGCCTTCGGCGTTTAGTCATGCCGGCCACATGACCATGGAGACATCTTCAGACAGCGCTGGCTCTTTGGCTTTGTAACGGAGATGAACACTGCCCCCTACAGCCAGAAATGACTGGCACATATGTGTGAGGGGAACCTTTATCTTTATCTTTAAGATGTGTGGACTTCAATTTCCGGTATCACCCAGCCATCATTCAGTCTACACATCTTAAAGTTGCTAAGGTTGAAAAACAATGTCAAACACTAACTTGGTTCTCCTCCCTTAGTATCTATTAAGAGAATAAACAAAGTTTTCAGAGGTATCCACAGAGCAGTCAAAAAAACTTAAGATGGTGGCCACAACCATGTGATCAATAGTCAGGTCTTCAATCATATAGTTGTGATCATCATCTTGACTTGTTGATCCTCTTCCTGTAGACACTCGAGCAAACCCTACAATGCTAATTCTTCCTTCAGTAACTCAATATTTACTGGACCACCACCATTTGACGTTCCTCTAGAAAAATCATTTTTCTATTATTTAAATTATTTTAAAAATAATATTTTTTAAAAAAAAATTTAACATACTGGATTGTGCAGCCAGCTGGATGGCATAATCATTCCCTGCCAACAGTATTTCTGCAAAAGTGCTTTCCAGTTGAGAAAAATTACTCCAAAGGTCTTGGCCTCTTAACATGGACACTTGGCTCATTAAAAAGCTTTGTCCGAAAGGAAAATGAGAGCTGTTTGACTCCTGAATAAGTTGTTCCACCTTGTTAACAAATTCCACAGCTTCTCGTTTTGCAGATTCACATGTTCCAAGACCTGCAAGAAGACAAAAAGTTTGCTCAGAGTGTGGCAAATCTGGAGGAGGGGGAGGAAGAGGAGGGGGAGGAAGAGGAGGAGGGGGGACAGGGAAGAGGAAGGAGGAAAAGAAGGAGAAGGAAAGAAAGAATGGGAAAGGGAAGAGGGAGGGGGGGACAGGGAAAGGGAAGGATGAAAAGAAGGAAAGAACGAATGGGAAAGGGAAGAGGGAGAGGGGGAGGGAAGAGGAGGGAGGAAAAGAAGGAGAAGGTAAGGAAGAAGGGTAAAGGGAAGGGAGGAGGAGGAGGAGGAGAATGTAGCAAGAGAGATGGGAGGAGGAGGAAAAGGCGGGAGAAGGGGAAAGGGAAGAGTAGGAAGAAGGAGGAGGAGGAAGAAGAGGAAAGGGAAGGGGAAGGATTCAAATAAAAGAAAATGAAGATGATTTTTACTTTGCCTGCATATTAATTAATGGGCAACAGAGACATAATTATTATCTCCCATTCAAGTCTGAGTTCCATTTATTTATTTGTTTGTTTGTTCGTTCATTTAGCCTGGTGTTGCAGCAAGCAAGGAATAAGAGTCCCTCACTAATTTCAGTTCAACTTCAGTGTGATTATCTGGCTCCCAAATAAAGAGTACCAGTTTATTCATTGATTAGTGTTATAATCCCATCAAACAAAAATAATAGTAGTGAAGTACAGGGTCTAATTCCAGGCTAAAACAGATAAGGAAATATAGTAATATAATACATACATGGTAAATATAAAGAATCAGCCTTCGAATAAATATTTTACCTTTACGCGAGGCCCCACTTTATTCAGTATACAGGTTCATAGCTGAACTGCCTTAACTACCCTGTTTTCCTGAAAATATGATCTACCCTGAAAGTAAGTCCTAGCTTGATTTTTTTTTTACATGTGTGCCCAATATAAGCCCTACCCCCCCCAAAATAAGCCCTAATTAAGATCCCGTCCATTCCAGAGTGGACGGGTAAAAATTAAGCTAGGGTGGTAACGGGGGGTTGCAGCTGCCCTACTACTTACCTTTGGACAGTTGTAGCCAGGCCTTGCACACCCTGACATCTACCTCGCTGGCCCATTTCTTCTGCAGCCCTCAAGGCTGGCAAGACTTTCCTGAAGAGCTCCGTCGCTGATAAAAAAAAAGCTCTGGATTGATCCAGAGCTCTGTTATCGGCTGCAGAGGCCTTCAGGAAAGCCTTGCCGGCTGCAGAAAAAGTTCTTGAAAATTCTGACAGAGAAAAGGATGCCGGGGGTGACGCACGCAAGTGAGATTAGACAGTAGATGACATCCCCCGAAAATTAGACCTGATACTTTTTATGGTGGCAAAGATATATATATATAGATATATATGTGTGTGTGTGTGTGTGTATGTGTGTGTGTGTGTGTGTGTGTGTTTTCTGAGGTTCTCGCGGGTATTTGTATGTGGATTTTTGGTTATTCGGGTTTTCTCCTGTGTAAAATTGGAAGTATCTAGGCAACGTTTCGATGAAGTCTCATTCATCATCTTCAGGCTTGTGTCTTCGGCTCTGTGCTTCTCAGAGTAAAGAATTGTACAATGACGTGGGAAAATACCCGAACAAAGCTGAATATCATACATGTAAGTGCCCGCGAAAACTTAAGAAAACAAATATCAAACCTCTACGGGGAGGAAATAAACAGCCAGATCAAAACCTATGAGAAGCTGGAAATTAAAAGAGCAGGAATACTATGTGACCTCATAGCAGAGACAACAATGCAACACCAACCTGCTTCAAATTAACATTTCATCACAGCACAGCAGCTACTAAACGTATCCTAAAAAGAACTGAAATGGCTCTACTCAGGAACGAGCTCCACAGAAAGAGATTCCAATTGGATCAGTTAAACAAAGATTTGCTAGCACTACACCTGGAATTGAGCAGCAAAATCCACCCTCTACTTTGGGACAAGATAAAACAACTTACAACTTGGAGAGCTGAATCTGAAACCACTTACAAAAATGATAAACTCTTGAAGAAACTAAAGAAATTAGAACATGACAAGAAAGCCCCCAACAACTCACAACAACACCTGAAACAATTAGTATATAACGTTTCCAACAGAGAACTCACCAAAACAGAAACAGATGTCCTAACCAAAGGATTCAATTATGCCATAGCACCCAAAAAAATCCCCACAGAATCCATCATCAGGGTCATATTTTCGGGGAAACACAATATAAACTTAGCAGTTCTGCTCACAATATATAAATTGGAGCCAGGAAGAAATAATGCAATCTGAGATTCAGATCCCAGTGGGCTGTTCTTTCAAGTAGGAATGTTAAATACCTAAGCTTAAAACTGGCTTACCATTGCCACTTGCAAATAATTATGCCCAATTCCTCTTGTATTTATTTAAAATATTTATAGGCAATTTCTCAGATTGTATAAATGTCTCAAAGGACTTCATTAGCCTTATATAAAAGGAAATGTTAACTAGTCAAAGCAACTTAGAAACCTTGCATTTGGAGAACTAAATGAATAAAAGCTAAAAGGGAAAAAAGAAGGTGGATTTTAGAAAAGGCCCGCTATCCACCAGTGATAACGGCTGATGTTTTATAATGGGAAAAGATTTTCCACAAAAACCCATTCCTCTAGGGAAGACTCTATTAATGGTCGTTAATCTTTAATTTAAAAAGAAATCTTGGTTTAGTTTAACCCAGATTTGTTCACTGAATAACAATGGCCAGGCTCACACAGAATGCTAAACCATCATCCATGGACTACAAACTAAGCCTAGGGCTATACATAATGGAAAACTAAAACAAAATGAATGCATGGCTTAGCGCAATGTTAATCACATCATAAATGCTTCACTAGGCTGAGATTTTGTTCAATCCCGTCAAGACGGGATCAACCTATTCTCCAAAGCAACTGAAAGCTGGACAAGAAGCAATGGGTGGAAACTAATCAAGTAGAGAAGCAACCTAGAACTAAGGAGAAATTTCCTGACATTTGGAACAATTAACCAGTGGAGATATTTTTTTTAAGAAAGGTTTGGGCAGCCATTTCTCTGAAATGGTATAGGGCAGGGGTCCCCAAACTTGGCAACTTTAAGACTTGTGGACTTCAACTCCCAGAATTCCTCCTCCAGTCATGTTAGCTCAGGAATTCTGGGAGTTGAAGTCCACAAGTCTTAAAGTTGCCAAGTTTGGAGACCTCTGGTATAGGGTCTCCTGCTTGGTGGAAGGGGAGGTGGACTAGAGGACCTCCAGGGTCCCTTCCAACTCAATTATTCTGTTTTGTTATTCTTTCTATGATTCCATCAAGCCTCAAGAAATTCCGGAATGGTATTAGGATCTCCTGCCATGGGACTCGGAGACCTCTAAGGCAGGGGTGGGATTCAAAAATGGCCATGGTGGGTGTGGCCTACCACAACTTCCAGGAGGGCCATTTTTTGCCTTCCCGAGGGTCCAGAGGCCTCCGACAGGCCTCTGGGAGGGTGAAAATGGCCTCCCACAGGCTCCAGAGGCCCACTGGAAGCTGGAAAAAGGCCCATTCACCCAAACCGGTCCGAACTAGAAGAATCCCACCCCTTGCTCTAAGTCCCTTTCAACCCTATTATTTTATTTGTTCTGATGTTTTGTCACAGGAAGATCTGGTGACTGGCTCAAGTTACTTACAAGTTGGAACTTGGTTTACACTGGCTTGGCTTCCTTGCATGCGTCCCTTTTCGTCCACACACCAACAGTTGCGAAGATCAAAATGTCCCAAGGGGATGCTAAAATCACTGTAAGATCCTGGATAATAGTTAAGCCGACCTTGAAGAAGCTGCCAAAAGGTGAATGGGTCCAGTAAAACATTCTCAGAGGATTCTAATGTTTTGCCCTCCAGCAGCTCTCTAGGAACAGCTTCCAAAGATGAGTATTTGGAAAATTCTGGGAACATATTCTGGCGTCCCGCAGCATAGAGTATGTTGATGAAATCTTCAAAGTTTCGCTGAGACCTTGCCTTGTAGTCTAGGAGTACGTTAGCCAAGTCAGTGATGGTAAGCACATTGTTGTTGTTGTTCTGAGCATCCCATCTTTGGTACCATTCAAATGCCTGTTCAGGTGGACCATTGCATTGGACTGGCCTCCACTGACCATCCAGACTACACTGAGGTACATAAATGCTGGACAGTTGAGTCAGAGAAGCGGGATTCAATAGAAACTGCTTGGCAGATCTTAGAAAAGCTTTACCAGCTGCAAGATGGCAGTCAGTTGGACCTAAGAAAGAACCAACTTGTTAAATACAAAGTCAGTAGAACAGGTGTTTTATAATAGTTGCTCTAGCACAGGAATAGCAATAGCACTTAGACTTATATACTGCTTTCCAATGCTTTCCAGACCTCTCTAAGCGGTTTACAAAGTCAGCCTATTGCCCCCAACAGTCTGGGTTCTCATTTTACTGACCTTGGAAGGATGGAAGGCTGAGTCAACCTTGAGCCTAGTGGGATTTGAACTGGCAAATTGCAGGCAGCTGGCAGGCAGCAGAAGTAGCCTGCAGTAGTACACTCTAACCTCAGCACTGCCAAGGCTCTTAAGAATAAACTGAAATGGCCGAGTTTAATTCATTTTAATTAATCAAATCAAATCAGCTTCATTATAGTCAAAGACCTGAGACCAGAATAAATAAAAACACCCAATGCATATGCCTAACTATGCTATAATAGCAATCCATAAACTGTGATGCTCGTAGTCATTAAATACTAAAATGCAAAACAACGTAGTAATGCAAAAGAGTTTGCTACAGTAGTTGTGTAAAATAATTAGGGTGGATTAATCACCTGTTTCCGATGAATCCCTAGTGCTGCTGTGCAGAATCTAGCCATCTGCTTGGTAATCACCATCTATTTGTCCTTAAAGGAGGGCTGTGAAAATATCTAGAGACCCCTCACATCCAGGACATAAATTGTTTCAATTTCTATCCTCAAAATGGGCACTTTATAGGGCACCGCACACCAGAACAACTAGACACAAGGGCAGTTTTTCTCCCCCCATGCCATCACTCTGCTAAACAACTAATTCCCACCACACTGTCAAACTATTTACTAAGACTGTATTACTATTATTCTTCTCATCCCTCCTATTACCTATTTCCTTTTCTATTTATGATTATAACTTTGTTGCTTGTATCTTTACAATTTATATTGTTTTATTTAGTTTCCTAGCATGATTTATGTTGATTGCTTATTTAGTATCCTACAACTACCACTAAATGTTGTATCTTATGAATGTATTTATGATGACTATGATCATGATTTATCTTTTATGTACACTGAGAGCATTTGCACCAAGACAAATTCCTCGTGTGTTCAATCACACTTGGCCAATAAGGAATTTTATTCTATTCTGTTCTGTTCTGTTCTATTCTATTCCCTGTTCTATTCTATTCCCTATTCTATTCTATTCAGAATAAGAATTCTATTCTATTCTCTTCTATTCAGTAGCCATTGGAGATAAACAGTATCAAAATGGCCAGTATACCTATAGATTATTAGGACGATATGGTTTTTTTTTTTTTAAATATCTATAGAAAGAGCATTGAAGGAGTTTTAATTATTTCATTAATTGTTCAGCTAAATTTAAGATTCCATTTTAAATCCTCGTAGGCTTAAAAGATAGACCTGGTAAACTCAATTGAAGATCTAAACTTTTTTTAAAAAATAAATGTGACCGTGCTTATATTAAATGCATTTATATAAATTTATGTCTTCGGACAGCAAAGGGGATTAACAGGCAAGTACTGGAAGAAATCACATCAGTCATGTCACTGGAAGGCAAAAGCCACAAAACTGGATCTCACTTATTTTGGCCATGACATGCGGAGGAATTCTATTGAGAAAGAGATTATGCTTGGAAGAGTTAATGGAAAAAGGGAACCAGGCCTCCAAATAACACGGTGGCTGGACACCATCAAAGCTGACAACAGCCAGAGCATGGAACAACTTGAAGAAGTAGTTATGAGATACAAGGCATGACGTTATACAATTATGCAAGGCATAATTGTAGAAGCATTTCCTTTTTCTCAAAGCTGCATGAAAATAATTCATATTTATGACAGTTGCAGTGTCCTGGGATTATGGAATCACCTTTTATGACCTTCTGACACACAAAGCCAATGATGAAGCCAGATTCACTTAACAACCATTTTATCAACTTAATATAAAAGAGCCCCGATGGCACAGTGGTTAAAACACAGTATTGCAGCCTAATTTTGCCCACAGCTTGGAGTTTAATCCTGATGGGCTCAAGGTTGACTCAGCCTTCCATCCTTCTGAAGTTGGTAAAATGAGGACCCAGATTGTTGGGGGCAATAGGCTGATATTGTAAACCATCCAGAGAGATCTGTAAAGCTGTGATGACCCAGGGTGTGGCACAAAGGCAACACAGTCAGATAAGCAATAACAGTCCCTTTATTATCTCCAACTTTGCCCCCAATGTCCAGGTTACCTTCTGGCTGAAGACAAACTCTCCCAGGAATAGCTGACCAGAGAAAATTAAGTCCAAAACATGAGCAACACAAACTGTAACTTAAAGTCCAAACAAGCCAAACTGAAGTAATTAGTTTGGCAGGGGCAGGAGCAAAAATTTCAGACTTGAAGGCACAGCAAAACTCACATGGTTGGGAAGACACCAGGAACATAGATAAGCCACAACAACATAGGATAAAGTCACGTTTGCTCCCAGCAGCTGCCATACTCAGCCTGCCTTTCTTATCAACTGTCTTCCCAGCTGTGGCTAATGAAGGGAATCAGGGCCCTTTTCTCCCCTGTAAGCCTCGCAACCCACGTTGCTCTCTTCTCCGTTCCTCCCTGCGTGTCCTAGGATGAAGAGAGGGTGGGCTTGGGTCTTCCTCTGAACTCCCTCTCCCTCATTGTATCTCTCCCCTGCTCTGCCCAGCCGGACTTTGCCCTTCCCCAGCCTCGTCCACAGCCAATGGAGCCACACTCCCATTCTCTGTCAGCTGTCCGGCTTCCTCCTCAGATTCAGACTCTGACATAAAGCATTATGGGGTAGTATATAAGTCTAAATGCTGTTTGCTATATGTTGGGGACACTAAAAACTGAAAAGTGAGAGTTATTTGAAGATGAGTACGGGACCTCATGCAAGTAGCAATGTTCTATTTTCTTAACTGGGAGATCATATGCTGCTATTCTCATTAAGTTGCCATCTGGTAGGCAGGTTCTACAAAAATCAGCACCAATGTTTCCACTTTTAAAGAAACCAAAATTTGGGGATTTGAGTGGGTTTCTCAGAGAGAGAGAGAGCATAAATATTTTCTAGACCTAGCAGACTTCTACGAAGTTCTTCCATGACTAGCTTTGCATTCTAAGCTCTATGTATTCATATTTTCATCATCCCTCAACATTAGGAAGATCTCACAAAAAAAACCCCAAAACAATAATGCATGTGAACATGTGAAACTTACATTGTATGGGGTCTCCAGAATTGGTATTTATTCCTGGAACAGGTGTGCCTTCTGAATTGACACAGAAACAGTTTTTCCCATGGCACTGGACTGGCAGGAATTGGCCTTCTGTGGTGCATGAAGGAACAAACATCTGAGATCCTGCAGGCTGGTCTCTAATTAAGAGTTGCAAACTGGCCCTTTGCTTTTCACACAATGTGGGGCACCGTGGGTTTGTCCCTCGTACCCTGGATCCGGGGATTTCTTTCCCCCTTAAATCTACGCACCAACACTCCCCTCTCTTACACTGAATCTCCTTGTAGTTCCCATCTTCAGTACAGTCTGGCACAAAGACATCATTGTCTTCTTCTGTGCAGTCTCTTGCTTTCAACAGAATCGTCACCACATTGCCTAAATCTTTGGTGACACTTTCTGGGACAGAAATCACATGCTGCAGAAAAGTGAAAAACTCTGGGGCTTCAAGAAGAGAAGCAAGGAATTTGACGGCATTCCGATTGTCCTCTAAATTGACCGTTCGACCAAAGCCGTCGATGAGAGATTGGCTCAGATTAAACTTCTCCTGGGAGCTTCCCTGCAAAAGTTGACCAGCCAGTTTACTGAATCCGCTTCTTATCCCAACCTGCTGGAAATACTTGTCCAAATTAAATTTGCTGTTTGGGCCAAGGGCTCCCGTAAAGTTAAACTGGACCAGATTCTTCAAGAACATCCCACCGAAAAGGTTTTCTTGGAATCGCTTGGGGTTGTTGGTAAATCGTAGAGCAACCTGAGCAAGTTCTCGTGAAGGAAACATCCCATCAACCGCTTCACCAAGGAGGCTTGCAAATGTGAAGAGCTGAGTGGCGCTGTTTCCCTCGGAGATGGAAGGCAGCTCCGTGGAACCCTCAAAAAAGTATCTGAATAAAAAGGGACAAAATCTTGAGGAGCCAACTATTTTCCCCGGCTCTTGAGTAGCAGAAAACAAATTGTTACGACTGAAATGTCCAACGGGGCCATAGAAAAGCCTGGACAGAGATACTAGTCTCTCAGAGACACAGGTGGGCGCCTTGTCTAGAGAAAGGAAAAGATAACAGAAGATTAATTATTATGAAGAATGCAAGAAGAGGCCTGAGACTGGTTCATGCCAAGGGCTCATCGAGACCAGCATTTGGTGTCACATAGTGGCCAAGAAGATTTCTCAAAAAAGTTCACTAGCATCAATGTCAGGTGCCAAAAAATCAGGACCATCACTTAAGTTCCAGCATAGAAGATGTATTTGAGCCTATACACAAAAATCTAGTCAACTAAGGCCTAATGCTAAACTGACATCAGGTAAAAGCCAATAGAATCCAAGGGGGGTTGGACTTAGACCATTTGTGGGACTGTAATGATTCTAGACTGACAACACGTTTAACTCCGCCCCCTGTCTGTCTGCTCTTCTCCTACAATGAAACTTCTTTCCATTGATGCTGCCCAGCACCTGATATTTAAAGTAAATTGCTTGTGATCAAGGAGGCAATGAGACCTTAAGATTAGCAGCCATTAATAACCTATCCTCCTTGAATATATTTTGTTCTCTTCAAAAACCATATAAACCGGAGGTCGTCCCCAAAAGATGGCCCAAAATTCCATAAATAAAAATCTGCATTGTATTACATAGAACAGCTTGCCTTTCTTGGAATTTTGTCTCAATACTCTCATCAACCTAATGAGAAGAAGAGGGGGGGGGGGACCTTTATCTCCCTATATTTTAAGAACGTAAGAATAACTCTGCTGGATCAGTCCAAGGTCCAGCATCTTTGATCATTGCAATTGGTTAGATCAGGAGTGTCAAACTCAAGGCTTGCAGGCCAATTTGGCCTGTGGAGTGCTTAGATCTGTTCCAGGGGGCCACCCTGGAAACATCGGACCAGTCCGCGGTGCCTTTGCCAGCAAAAACAGAGCATGCAGCCCTCCTGAGCTCCATTTTCATGGCACCAGGGTTGCCGGAGGCCATCGCAGCCAAAAACAGAGCTCGGGAGCCTGTTTTCTCTGGAAGAGCTTTTGGGCCACCACAGGAACCCATCACATAAGTGACGTCAAGTTGGCCATATCCACCCTGGCCATGCGCCCTGCCCTGCCGCCCCCTGAGGTCAAACATAACCCTAATGTGGCCCACAATGGAATTGAGTTTGACACCCCTGGGTTAGATGTTTTGGGGGAATTCAGAAATGAGAAATTCACTGCTATTGCATTGCAATTGATATTTGATATTAAGCTAGGAATGAAAATCCTTGATGAGCATGTTTCTGGCTTTACCTACCACAGATTGGTTGCTTTCCTCTCCTTCTTGTTCCAGGGATCTCCTGTCCTCTGTTGTCGACACACCAACATTCTCCATTAAGTTGACATTGCGTTGGCTTGTAGGCACCATTATCTTCACACAATGGTTTATAATCCTCCTCAAAACGAGTGGCAGTGAAATACTCTATTTCACACTTGGAAGGGCCTTCAAAAGAAAAGTAGAACAGAACCAGTTTTCATTCACATGTACATTTGTTCCAGTGTCTGGCAACTATCCTGAAAAATCGGTCTAATGGAAAAAAATTCCAGAAGAAAAAGACTCGAACCAGTGGGCTCCTGAAGGATTTTAATTACACCGGTATTGATTTGGCTCTGCTCTGTATTCTGCATTTTTACTGTTGATCAGATAGGTAGGTAGGTAGATATTATAGATATATATATACATAAAATGATATAAATGTAACAATAAATCAATAAAAATAAGAATGATCCTCTGTACAACTACTATGGGTAGAATAGAAGTTGGGAGAAGAACCATCTCATTTCACAAGCAACAATGCAGATAGTCCTTGACTTACAACCACAATTGAGCCCAAAATTCTCATTGCTAAGCATGACATTAGTTAAATGACTTTTGCCCCATTTCGCCACCTTTATTGCAACAGTTGTTAAGTGGCAGTTGTTCAAGATAGTGACACGGTTATAAACTGATTCTGGCTTCCCCATTGACTTCAATTGTCAGAAGGTCACAAAAGGGGTTCACATGGACCTGGGACACCGCAACCGTCATAAATGTGAGTCAGTTGCCAAGCATCCGAATTTTGATCATGTGATTGTGGGGATGCTGCAATGGTTGTAAGTGTAAAAAATAGTCATAAATCATTTTTTCGGTGCCGTTGAAACTACTAAAGGTCAGTAAACAAATTAATGTAAGTCGATTAGCTGTAGATGTTGACCTGCCTTCTTTGGATTTGTGTTCTCTAAACCCGCAGAACTGTATGCTACATAATGTCAAGCTTCAAAATTTGCTTTTGCTGTTTCAGCCATTTTCAATACTCAACTTGACAACAACCCAAGGGGGGAGGGAGAAGAAGAATGGAATGTACTTTCTCTGCAATGAGACAACAGTCATGGGAACCAAGGACATGTGTTTGCCAGAGCCAAAAAGACTTTCTCATAAGAAGATTAAGAAACAGAATTGGACAGTGTGAACTGGCCTAATAGGGGAGGGAGAATCTATACTTTAACTATATGGGTTTGCGGAGGAAATAGCTAGATCTAGTTTTGCTTTCATATGTGCCGAAATGATGCACTCAATAAAGCTTTGCTTGAGAAGTTTGTCAGTCAGAACCTTGACACGTACATCTGAATCTTCCAGTTGTTGCAAGTTGTACTCCCAGGAAACGTCTCTGTAGGATCCTATACATGCTACTTTCAGCAAAGGTAGGAACTGGTTCCAGCGATGCAAAAACTGTGTCGTACACATTTTCAAGCAACATTTCCAGACCTGGGAAAGAAGAGAACATTTTAGAAGAGCATCTTCAACAGAAGATGCTCTTCTTCAGCTATCCGAATCTTTTTTCTTCATTTAATTAAGTTATATCAAATGGTCCTTTGGACAGCAAAGGTGACCAACCAGCAAGTACTAGAGGACATAACAGCAGATAGGACACTAGAAGGCAAAAATCACAAAACTGCATCTCATTTACTTTGGCCATATCATGCGGGGTGGGTGGGTGGGTGAGTGGAGGGAGCAATTTTGTTGGGAAGATTCCATTTTAAATCCTCACAAGCTTAAAAGATAAACCTGGTCAACTGGATAGAAGATCTAAACTTTTTAAAAAATAAATGTGACCGTGCTTATATTAAATGCATTTATATAAATTTATGTCTTCGGACAGCAAAGGGGTTTAACAAGCAAGTACTGGAAGAAATCACATCAGTCATGTCACTGGAAGGCAAAAGCCACAAAACTGGGTCTCACTTGTTTTGCCCATGACATGTGGAGGAATCCTACAGAGAAAGCGATTATGCTTGGAAGAGTTAGTGGAAAAAGGGAGCCAAGCTGCCAAAAACGTGGTGGCTGGACACCATCAAAGCTGACACCAGCCAGAGCATGGAACAACTCAAAGAAGAACAGCAAGATTGTCTATGGAGATTCTCAATCATCCAGGTCATGGTTGTCCCAGAGATGTTTTTTCAAGAGGCAACTGAACTTTCTTGGTTTCTCTTTGAAGATGTTTCATTTCAGCTCTGCTGAAGAAGTTTCTTGGATGAGAAGCGAAATGTCTTCAAAGAAAAACCAGTAAGTCCAGTTGTCTCTTGAAAAAGCGCCTTTGGGATAGTGCAAGGTTGGAAGATTTGGAAACATCTGGTCCATAGAATCACCAGCTTAAGGTTGACTCAGCCTTCCATTCTTCCAAGGTCAGTAAAATGAGGACCCAGATTGTTGTGGGCAACAGGCTGACTCTGTAAACAATTCAGAGAGTGCTGTAAAGCACTATGAAGCAGTGTATAAGTCTAAGTGCTATTGCTATTAATGTATTGGCTCACAAAAATGCTTTCCCTGGCACAATCAACATCTAGAATTCAATGACGTCAAGATGGTGTTCAATCCAACCCAAACAGTTGTCTAACCTCAAGTCCATTTTACTACTGATGGAAAGCACCTACATTTTGTCTGGATTTAAGTTTTGCTTGTGTTGCTTCATCCCAACCTGGAAGAGGATCATGGCTTGCATGATAGACATCTTGGATCTCTTCTTCTTCCAAAACAGATTTACTTTTTGCTAGGCAAAAAGTGTCAAGTTTTCACTTTTAGGAGACTCCCGCAGGTAGACTCACCTGTATCTTCTAGTTCTCTCCCAAGGCTGTCTGCACAGTAACAGTATCCATTGATTTCAGGGAACAAATTTCTGAAGGAACTAAATGTTAAGAACGCTTTGGGGAACCTGAAAGAGAAATCCAGCTATTAGAAAATTCAGTATATGAGATTTTCCAGTGGTGGGATTCAACCAGTGTAACAACCAGTTCACCCGAACCGGTCCATACCAGCTGAATTCCATCCCTGGTCCAAAGTATCATCATTGATAGTCCAGATTACCTCCACTTATGGGGCTTTTACCAGAGCTAGAATGTCTTCCTATGTCTTCCTCAATGGCAGGACTAAGCACTAAGCATTGCATAAAGTTCTTCTTACCTGTTAAAATGATGGATGAGATCGAAGACCATCCTATTGGTTGTGTTGACAAATTTGCATTGGACAGGCAGGAATTCTCCATCAGTTGAGCATTGTGGGGGGCTCTTTTCTCCAATGCCATGCAGAATGCGGCGGTCTCGAATCTCACACTGGCCTGGACCTGACAAGCAAAAATATTGCTTTTATTCCAGCTTCTTTGTTTAAGAAAAGCAGTTGTCAGAACTTTTCAAAGCACTTTCAGAAGAGATTTTCCCCCCATCCCATATACATTGCTCATTCTCATCTCTTTACCAAGAAGGTCAATTTTTTTCCATCTATTTCTCACTCTGCTTCTCTAACTTTGAGGAGAGAAAGGATGACTGATGGGTTGAAAAGATAATGATGGGAAGGAAGGAAGGAAGGAAGGAAGGAAGGAAGGAAGGAAGGAAGGA